TACATGGTTTAACCAATTATATAGTTATTTGAAGTTAAAAACTAAAAAATTCAGATAAATTAATAAAATAAAAAATCAATCCTCCCCTTCCCTCCCCTCTGAAATCCCCCAACCATACAGGCCCTAATGGTTGCGCTAGAAAGTCTTGTATAGGGATAGTTCTCCATATTCCTGGTGGGAATCAGCAAAGGTGGTCTTTAAAATCCATGGTTCATTTGCAAGAACAATTCCACGGACAGTGCTAATTTTTTTGTTGAAGGATATAATAGAAATGAAAAAGGTGGCCCTATTTAGTAAATAGGTGCTGGAATTTCCCTAATATAAGTAGTAGTAGTATTAGGCGGGTAACATGCACGGATAGCTTAGTTGGTCGAGTGGTGGGAAATTTGGATAAATGAACCAAGGTTCGAATCCCCGCAGCGACCGGGTAGAAGTTACAGAACCTGAAATAAGGCTGGACATCTAGCGCGCATAGGAGTAGGCCTACTGCCACTTTCCTGACTGATTCATCGTGACTTACTCCTTCACCATCTTGCCGGGTCGGGGTGTGGGAGATTCCAACTTTTGGATCAATAGTATTAGGCGGGTAGCCAAATTCTGAATAACGAAGCGTAGAACTGTAGAAGGCTGGGGCAATTGAATACCAGGCCCTGCTCGACCGCGTACTAGCTCCAACCGGCCACCGCAGCACGCCAGCACTGCACGTTCGCAGTCCTCCCGCCCACACAAGCCACCGGTGCACCATGAGTCTACGATCTACGTCCTCAGCTGCTCACTACCGCATGTAAGTTTATCTATTTTAATTTTTTAAATGATATATTCTTGATTTTCTTAATATGTTTGGATTATTATTTATTAATCTTTCTCATTATTATAAGGGCAGCCGCCTCTAGGCTTTTTTTTTCCGAATTCGATCATATTGATCGAAGTTCGGCTGTTCTTGTTCGCATATCTGGCCGCGGAGCAGTGGTCTGCTTTTGGCTAAGGTAGAGCGATCACGAGTTTTTCTCTCTAGGGCTTTGACTATGTCGGCCGCTGGAGCCTTTTTCCGATTTCGACTTTGTCGAAGATCGGCTTTGTTATCCCTTGGTCGTTGGTGCTCGACTGGAGTCCAGGTCAGACGCGAAGGGCGGAGATCGGTGGAGGAGGGCAGATTTGCTATCATGGCTCGAGGAGATCGGCGCTGTGGTCAAGGTTCGAGGATGCGGCGTTGCTATCGTCGTTGGAGAAGATCGGCGCCGCCTATCCGCTTACTCTGTTCGCACGGAGCAGGGATGAGTTTGGTTATGCAGGGACGGAGGATTGATGCATGGTCTTTGGCAGCCAAAGGTCATGGAGGATCAATTAGCATGGTACCAGTGATACGACCTCCTCCTGAACCACCACCATAGGATGCACGAGGTGCTAGAGTTCGTGGACGTTTTTCTTGTAGTTTTTATCTGTTTGTTATTTGTTTTCTTGCATCCATTTTTGTTGTTGGGTTTGACAGTTTGTTTGAGTTTTTTGCCTCTCTTTATGTCATTGGGTATGGTTGGATCTATGGGAATAGTTTTTGCTGTGTCAAGCCCACTATATGGTTAGCGATTCGTGTGGCTCTCTCAGGGGTGACCGTCTCAAAGTCTCACCATAGGGTTACAATCGTAGTTGTTGGAGTTTCAGTTGGTGTCTGTTTTATTTTCCCTTTGCTTGATGTAATGATCCTGAATCTTTTGATATGAATAGAGGCATGTTTTGATGATAAAAAAAAATCTTTCTCATTATTATATGATAACGTAATTCAATTGTTGATTTTAACTTAGTTAGCTATTTATTAGGGCTATTACTCCATTGGGTTTAGGAATAGTGATCTATGATGACATGTAACTCGATTTATTTTGTAATTATTAACCCATTTTTTTATTATTAATTTGTTTTTATCATGTTCAATAGTAACTCCAATTTTAACACAAATTATGGGAAAATTATTACTATTACCACTAGTATAGTACCCGTGCGATGCACATGGAAAATATTTATTGTAGGTTAACAAAAAATAATGAAAGAATTGGTAGTTTATTTCACAAAATCAAAGTATTTATATTGATAAATTCGGAACGTAGAATTTGGTATTTTACATTATATTGATCACATTTTTTATTAATTGAATTCATAAAAAAAGCTAAATGTCATTTTATTTAATTGTGGAATAAGTTGAGAAAAAAGTTCAAAAGATTATGTTTTAATCAAGATATCAGATCAGATAACAATTAAATCAATTAGACCATATCAGACCAGACTTTGACAATTGCAAAATAAAAACCAAAATCTTTTTCTTATCTTATTGTGACGTGAGGGAGGTGCTATTAACTAAACACTAACGTTAGACTCTATGTAGCACCGATACCGGTACGCGGAAACGCGGAAACGCGGAAACGGGTACGGGGATACGTCAAAACCAAAAAAAGTAGGATACGGATACAGGGCCATATTTATAAATATTAAAAGTTATGGGGGTGTATTTACAAATATTAAAAGTTATAGGGGTCTATTTATAAATATTAAAAATAGATTTTTTTTGAAAAAATATATATATATATAATATTTATAAATATTAAAAGTTATGGGGGTGTATTTACAAATATTAAAAGTTATGGGGGTGTATATATATATACACACACACATATAATATCCTATGATGTCTACCCATTCATTGCATTGAAGCATTTTCCTTTTTCAAGATACTTGGTAATAAATTCATAATATTTCTCATATACACTATTCATCTCAAAATATAAATATAGTCAATAAGTCATTAATTTAAAATGAGAAATAAGTCAAACAACTACAATCTTGAAATTAAAAGTGCAAGTATCCAATTCGGAGTATGAGTTAATGACTTAATTCGGATATAGCCATATAGGCCCATTATTTGATTATCAAGTAAAATGTAGTTTTAGATTTTCATTTTTGTTTAGAATTTTATTAAGTAAATTTTGAGATTTTTTTTTTTTTAAAAAGTTGATACGGGTATCCGTCAGGATACGGGTATCGGAAACTTTCAAAAAATTACAAAAAAAAATGGAAACTTTTAAAAATTACAGATACGGCCCGAGAACGTACGGTACGGGTATCCTAGAGTATCGGATACGGGAACGTATCGGATACGCCGATACGCTACCCTAGCGAAGTATCCGTGCTTCATAGGTTAGACTACAATTGTGAACCCATTTGGTTATCTCATTATTTGACTTATTATCAAGCACAAAACTTTTTTATAAAATAAATATGATTGAAGTTACATTTATGAATAATTAGATGAACTTGCAGAATATATAACTATTTTAGCTATTCTATGTCATTTCCTTTGTTTTATTTAATAGATATTTCAAGTAATTGTGTATCACGAAAAGGTTGTTTACGTGCTCCACCACATAATAGGATCCAAAAAATTTAGATTCGAATTTCTTAATTTCCATTTTGATATGTTTTGCTTATCCTTTAGGAACAGCACAACATGCCATTTTTTTAAGAACTCTTACAAATCACAATTTCTTTCATTTTATGCTTTAACAAAATAAGCTAGAGCTACAGACATACTTACGGAGAACTACGCATCTAACTTCAGAGATGCTAAAAAATGAAACAAATTTCATTGAAGTTACAAAGTGAAAGCAACCAACAATTCAGGCTATGTATGTCACTCTTCTCAAACACTCTTTTTCTTTATCAATTGGGATCGAGTTTGAAGGGAAAAACAGCCACAAACGGTAACTAATAAAATGCGGAATAATTTTCGTTTGGCTAAACTTTCCCAACTTGAATGAACCTTTGACGATGCAAACAAATAGGGTGTTCTTAATGCAATTAGAACACACACAATATTGCTGCCACACACCAATATAATCAGATAAAACAGTAAACACACACCACACAAAGACAGCGAAATTTTGGCCGCTTAAATCCACTATCATCATCAAAGGAGCAGTACAAAGTCTTCTCTAGATAATACTAGAGGCATACAAAATCATCATATTCTTGTAAGTAAGAACCAGAAAAATAGCTACTGTCCAGACCAATGAAACCTGACCTCCAAGCCTCAAAACCCAATCTCCACCGTCCAGAATGTTTGCCCAGATGCTGTGAAGCAGCTGTCCAAAAATCAGGACGATCTAACGGTTCAATCTCCGGGAAACGAAAAACATTTCTATTGCTGCCTGCTGAAAAACTGGATGAGCATTCAGTTCATGTTTTTATGACTTTTTCTCTTTCTCTATCCGCTGCTCTCTTTCTGTCCTTGTATTTGAGATAGTGGTTGACCCTCTTTTTATTATTAGCTCCCAAAATAGAAAGTCAAAAAAAGACTTTCAATGGGCTCAATAGTTGGGCTTTCCTCATGGATCAAAAACAAAGAAAAAACCCAACAGAGTCATCAGACACATTTACCTAAGACAATCCTCACCAAAGCATACGACACTTATACTCCGTGTCCTCATTTTATTTAGCTAAATTGATACACCTTGGCACTTACTTGCAATGCATCCATAACCTTACTGTACATGTAGGAAACGTCTAAGAAAGAAACGCTAGTGAGGCACAAAATATGACCTTAGAGAAGTTGGTTATTAGCATATAAGTTTAGAGAGGGACACTGAATTTGTCTAACATGGAACATAAACAAAGACAGAAGTAGTTTTCACTTTTCATACATTTCCGGCAACTGACTTTTGAGTTTTGAAAGTAAAAGTTTTATCATGACCACATAATAATGGAAAACAAGTTAAATAGCTGCATGAGCAATATATGTACCATCTAGTTAGGTGGAAAAAGATCATGTCCATCCAGATGGACAGGAACGCTGTCCGGCCACCATCGTTTGGGCGGTTCTCGGTGGAACTTTGTGATGAAAATTTTTGGGCATGTTCCTCATCAAGTCTAGTTTATACACAAAAAATTTCAGCTAAAAATTATATCGGGAAGGTAGTCAAATAAATATTTTAAGTATATTTTCAAGGTTTCCTCCAAACAGTGAAATAAGTCAAAAGAGTGAGTATAATGCAATAAGTAAAATTTCAGAGTTTCCTCCAAATAGTGAAATACAGTATATTTGTATTCCCATTCACTATAACTACCAAGACAAATATATACACATATTGTAGCCGGTAGGGCACAATTCACAAATAAATTTAATATTATTGTTAACTCTTAGTGAGCATTCAAAATCTAGAAAGAGAACAAGAATATCTGCAAAAAGAACAAAAATGTGAAATTAATTAACAGCTGTTGCAGCTGAGAGATGTAGATCTGCTTGGCCATTGAGCATTTAGGATGACAGAATTGGGAGAAAGGGTGGGCAACTTGCAACTACCATTCTTCACCAACAGTGGGGCGACCGTTGGACTTGCCATAGAATCCTTCTTCTCCAAGCCCTGTATCTCGAGCAAACTTTCCAACACATCTTCCATGGAAGGCCTCATTTCCTTGGCACTCTGCAGACATTGGAAGGCCAGCTCCGCCACCGCGCATATCATCTCCCTAACTCTCTCATCCGAATCAAACCCCAGACTCTTATCCACCAACTCTGGCAAGGCGTTGCACTGGATCTTGTTGATTGCCATGTTGGACAGGTTAATCTCGTGCCTATGCCTCGTGATATCAACTGCCGGCAGTGACGAGATAAGCTCGATCAACACCACCCCAAAGCTGTAAACGTCGCTCTTGCTCGTTAGCTGGTAACACTCGTGGTACTCCGGGTCAAGGTACCCAGGGGTGCCCTGCGGGGCCGTGGAAATGTGCGTGGCGTGCGTCGGGAAGAGGCGGGACAGCCCGAAATCCGCAACTTTGACACGGAAGGCGTCGTCCAGGAGGATGTTGCTGGTCTTGACGTCGCGGTGAATGACTTCTGAGGCATGGAGGTACACCAACGCGCTTGCGGTTTCGATAGCGATGCTCAACCGCGTGGCCCATGAGAGGGATTCCGGATTCGCGGCCTCACCATGAAGGTGGTCTGCTATCGTCCCGTTTGGGATGTACTCATAGACTAAAAGAAGCTCACGACAATGGCGCGATGTGCACCCGTAAAGCCTCACCAGGTTCCTGTGGGATAGGCGCTGCAAGATTTCGATCTCGTTCATGAACTGCTCTACTCTCTTGTAGTTGTTCTCATACAAACGTTTCACAGCAATAACCCGCCCATCTCTCAGTTTACCTACAATGTAAAAGTTCCACAATGCTGTTTATGGCTATGTATGATAATTACTATTATCATTATGATTGGTATTATTATTATCAGCATTGTTTCTATCATCATTATTACCTTTGTAGACACTCCCAAAGCCGCCATCTCCAAGTTCATGCTTTGGGTTGAAATGATCAGTTGCTTCTTCAAGCTCACTATACTCAAAGAGGTGGACTCCATGGTAGTTCCCCGACTTCTCAAGATCCATAGTTGAAGTAGAGGGATCGGAAGGAGTGCTTCGTGACATGAAGTAGGATGAAGCATATGGCTTCTTGCGTCGTCGTCGCTGGCAAGCAAACCAAGAGGCACCCATTAATATGACACCAAGCGCAGCTCCACCAACGCCTATAATATTTAAAGCCTAATTCATTAATTATGATAAAAGTTTGAAACTGATTCAAGAGATTATTATTGTTATGATTGTCATATATATATATATATATATATATGTACTCTTAAGAATGATCATCAAAGTGTAACTTGATGTAACTTACCTAAGCCAATCTTCAAATTCACTGACGATCCTGCCATATCCACTGCAGTAAAAAAAACAAGTTCAGTTTCTGTTCTGAAGCCTTAAAACTCAAAAAGCAAATCATATGTAATGAGATCATAAATAAATGACCAGGGGGGAAATATGGAATAAAGGAAACTTGTTCTTTCCATTTGGGAAATCAGAAGCAGGAAAGAAATTACTAATTAAACATTGGATGAAACTTAATTTAGCAATTCTGTTCAGGTAAGGATTAAAAAAGTGAGAGTCGGCATGTTCTAAGATAGATCATGCTCTATCCTCTTGCCACTTGGAAGCCAATGTTAAGATAGAATACTTATTTGTAACTAAACCCACATATTATGCTAAATAAAAAACATGGATACATTATTGCAATCACTCTAACCAGAAAAGTTCAAACCTTGAGCATTGTTGCTAGGAGAGCTAGAAGATAGAGGGCAGGTTTTGGTATGTGTTTGGTTATGGCAGAAACAAAGGAATTGACTATTGTAATGACCGCAACTTCCCCCGCTTTCTTCGCAGTATCTACAACGAGACTCCTTCCACTGCAGAATAAACCCTCTCTTTAAAACCTCAACATAACTCATCTCCAACAATTTGTCTATTCCCTCAACCTCAACCGGCATATTAACCGGCGCTTGGCACGTGTTTATAGAATAGGTCTTGTGCTCCATGAGATCAAAACGGAAAACCGCGAAAGCATGATGGCTCTCGTTTTTGGCACAATCCACGGGATAACTCTCCATCCCGAATGGTTCAGTGCAATTGTAGAAGAACACTAGGTCTGCAGTGTTCGGGCCATAGCTAAATGGAGTCCTATGTGTGCGCAGATTGTGTCGTGGAATGGGGCACTTATCACCCGCATCATAGACCTCGGGTTGAGCCAGGCGGACCGAATTGCTCGAGTAATATATGTCTCGGATGATGTATTCCTTGGCGTGAATCTTGATGAATGGCTGATCATCAATACATGCTATGTTGTAGGAAGGTAAACCACAGTAGGATTTTTGTTTGGTGGTAATCCAGAAAGGGAAGGAGATCTTCACTCCATTACCACAATCTTGGGGTTTGCAAGTTGTGGAATTCAAGTACAAGGATTGAGCTTCTTCATGTAGTGAGGTGAGGAAAAAGATGCAAAGGATTATTGATTGCTTGAACATGAATGGAGATGAGAATATAGAGACTCTAGAAATTAGAAAGAAAAAAGAAAAGAACAGAAAACAGGAATTGAAGATGTACAAGCTAGTAGGAAGTTTCCAGTTGGCTGCAAGTGAGTAAGTCTATGTGAATAAAACCACCGCCCCCTCATCGTACGTCCGTCCACAATGACGTTACTCCATGAATTGATCGGCGGTTCGAATAAAATCATTCAAAGCTACTTTTATCCTCAAGAGTTATCTGGACCGTACATGGAGTTGCTTTATAAATTGCCCAACACACATATAAAAAGAAGGCTACTTTATATTGCATATTTTACGTTTTGTCAAGGACAATAATTAGTGCTTGACATTTACAGTCTTTGGTCTAACATTTAGAAAACGTTTGTCCTAAGACTTCAAGCAACTGCTAGGTCTTCTGTCCTAGAGAGGGAAAATCATCATCTAAATCAGTCCTGGCATCACAGGGAGCTATTGGCCTGGCAGGTGAAGTATATCCAAAAACTTCTCTTAAATTTGACTTGCACGTGAAATCATTAAGTAAAAAATGATGTAAAAATTGTGTGATTGAGATTTGTATATAAAAAAAACTTTTAAATACGGAGTACATATTTATGTGGAAACAACAAAGCTTTTTAGGACAACTAAATACAAAATTGAAGTCTTTATTTTGTAAAGCTCAAAGACAAACTAAATGTTGACAGCATATGGGGTCGAAATCAAAATTGAAGTCTTTATTTTTTACCCAATATCCCTCACATAGATGACCCAAAAGTCAAGAAATTTTGGAGTCCTTCGCAAAATGCCAAACTTTAGAGATAGCTTCTTTATTAGAGATAAATCCTTGTTATTGATTATAATTTGCTTATTTTTATATAGGGAAAATTATCAAATAAGCCCCCGTACTATACCGATAAAGTCGATTAAGCCCTCGTACTTTACATACACTCAATTAAGTCCTCGAACTATTAAAAAACGTTCAATTAAGCCCTTTTGGTCGGTAAGTAACCGGTTTCCCGGTTAAATGTAACATGTTTTCCGGCAGCCGCCGTTGCTGGGGTTCGAGCACATCGTCGCCGTCGTCGCCGTTTAACTGGGAAACCGGTTACTTACCGACCGAAAGGACTTAGTTGAACGTTTTTTAATAGTTCGAGGACTGAGTGTTTGTAAAGTACGAGGGCCTAATCGACTTTTTCGGTATAGTACGAGGGCTTATTTGATAGTTTTCCCCTTTTATATACTACCTCCGTAACGCTAGAATCTTCCCGGTTTGACTTTTTTGGGTCAAACTTTATGAACTTTGACCATTATTTATTCAAAACTCACATTATGTTATGATTAAAAATTTATTTTATATAACTCATTGTAAAACATATTATTTGAATGTTAATTTATTATGAATTTTATAAATATAGATATGTAGATATTTGCAGTCAAAGTTCAACTTAGAAGACCGTGAAAAGTCAAAATGGGAAGATCTTTATGTTACGGAGGGAGTATATCTTGTTTTAACTACTTTAGTATCTTTACATCATAGACTCAGACTAAAAGTCCTGTTTACTCCTAAACAAACTATTGTAAACTCATTGTAAATGTTATTAATAAGATCATCTTCAATGCTAAAATGTGAACGGTGCATACGTGGCATGAGTGATAGCCAATTATAAAACAATAAATAGAATATCTCTCTCATTATTTAAAGGATCTTGTATCATTTTGGTAAGTTTTTATGCACAATGTCAAACACAATGTCTAGATGTAACATTGTGTTTGACATTGCAGAGGAAAACTTACCAAAAACACATAAATCCGTGGAAAGAATGAGAGAGAAATGTCATAAATTCAATTTTTTGTGTCTCTCTCATGTCACATGTGCACCGTGCACATTGTAGCATTGGAGATGCTCTAAAGCTTCAAAAAATAACCCTACGCGATCCTATTCTACTGTTCTATGTACACCAGTTTATAATAATAATGTTATACGGAGTACAATACAAGATGAGAATAAATTAAAAATTTAAGTTCTGTTTGATAAATTCTTTTGCCAGCTTATCAATCAAATAGTTTTTTTTATATCAAAACAAGGTTGTTGTATCTGCAGTACAACAATTAAGATTTTCAATAAGCGAAAATTATATGGATATACCCCCCTGATATATTCCTCGTTTGTAAATAAACTAAGAGGTAGTGCAGGAAAAACACTTTACATGAACATTGACTAAAGAAAACCAAAGAAAACTAGGTCAAAGAATTACTTTTCAACAAAAGGATTCCACTTTGGCTGTATCACTGTATGGGACGAATTCTTGTACTAAACCGTAGTTTAACTAACAGTTGTGCCGTGCCTCAACGGTAGCCTAAGTGGGGCTTATTTTTTATTGGTTCATAAACATTTTCCAATCAGCGCTTTTGTCAAATACGAAGTACATGAGTGTTTTTCAAAATGTTTTTTTAAGAGATTATTGGAAAATTAATTTATAGTAAAAATTGATAGTGTTTGCGATTGCCAATTTGTTGCTACTGCTTGTCAAATTCCGAGACAAAATGTATCCGTGTAATTTCCGTGTCAAATTCCTTGTCAAAAAATGTATATATTGTACTAGTTTTTGAACCTAAAAACACATCTTATTTATGTATGCATTTTCATCACATGCTCTTAGTGATGAGCCCTCGAAAAAATGGAAAGTCTTTTATATTTGCTATGTGGAGTATTTGTATATGGATTTGCTAAATAAATTATCGCCGGCGTATAAGGTATGTAACTTTTTCTTGATTTATATATCATTCGTGGTTTGAATTATGATTATTATGATATATTTTAAAGATTTACTAGCTAATATATGTTGGGTGAATTGTGTGTTTATTGGAAAAATAAAGAAATTAATTAAATAAAATAGTTAAACAATTACAAGCACTTTCTTTCTCTAGCTCTCACTTCTCTCTAGATCTATACTCTATTAATAATATTATATATAAAACGGATGTAGAATAAGCAAGGTCGATCATGTCTAGTTTTGGGCCTAGCAGAGAAAAAGTAACAACACAAGTGTCACACAATTTTTTCCAAGATCTCATGCTCAATGCTTAAAATTGCTAATCCATTAAGTTTTTTTTAGACATAGGATGTTTTTACTTGGATTGTAATTTGTTGGTCTGGTCTGTTTAAGTCTGTTCTGGTCTGGTTTGGTCTGTTTAAGTCTGGTCTGGCCTGGTAAACGTCTGGTCTCTGTGTATTTTATAACTACGGAAGTCAAGTCTGGTCTGGTCTGTTTAAGTCTGGCCTGGTCTGGTCTAGGACCAAAAACAGTCCAAGTAAAAACATCCATAGTCGATTGTAGATAATTGAGATGAGGTTTGAGAATTGGGAAGCACGGGCAGTCCAAAGACAATAGTACAAATTAATAATTTTGTAATTAAAAGGAATAAAAAGCTTTAAAGGCCAAAAAGATGATAACATGCTTTTATTGAATCAACAACAAATATGTTGACTTACAATCAGTTCTACTTAAAAATCAAAATTAAATGTACATTATTTTATAAACTTATGTGGCTCCGATCAAGACTTTTTACTTGTGTTTTAAAATTTTCAAATTTTCAACATAAATTAAACATTAAGCGCAATTAAATTATTGAATTTATAAGCAAAAAACAAGCCTACTCACATTATATTTAAACAAAAAAGTTCAGGTCTAACTTTCTTTCTATTATTTCGGGCCTAGGGTGGTTGCCCTTTTTGCGCTCTCCCTAGGGCCGGCCCTGAGAATAAGAGTTATGGACAAGTTAAAGTATATGACATAAATAATTGTATTTCGATATAATGTGTATAACTTATTTAAATATAAATGTGCCGTATGTGAAACAAAAC